CGGTTCAAGGTTAGTTTTGATTGGAAAAAAGTTGTACAAACTTGGTGTTTTTGCACCGCATTTAATTACAGGAGACAGTAATGGAAGTGTTTCTGCTCAAAGCGCATTAGCTTCATAGTGAATTCCTAAATGCACTCAGTGTGTTTGGAAGTCATTCAGAAACTCGGCTCTGGCAGCAGCGCGCAGGACGAATGCAGGATGCACGTTAAAAGCACTTTATGCTCGACTTTAGATGATGCCTTAAATGTTTATTAGGAGAAATATAAAGTGCATTAGCAATGAACCCACTTAAACGCTGTCACTGTTCTGCAGAGGAAATGGATAACAGCTTGGTACGTGTTAATGCAAACGGATTCATTCACTCTCACGTGAAACCAGACATTGTTGCTAACAGTGCTGGGCATCCTGCTCCACAAAAGGCACACACAGGCCTGGACATTTATCTCTGTGTTCACCGTTAACTTTTTGGAAGAAATCTTACATTTCACCCACTTAAAAAGTAACATCCATTTAACCCAGTGAACCTGTGCCGTTTAAAGAAAGGCTAAAGAGAGAAAAGCTACATTGACGTTACTACGGTTCTGGTTTTCGCAGAAAGCATCAAGTATGTAGGTGCTTTGGCTTCAGCCTCCTTCAGTAAATAAACAACAACTCTGCTTTTTCCTGTTGAAGAGTCCCATGATGTCTGTCAAGGAACATGATGGATCAGGTAATATTGACACTATTACAGGATTCTTCCATCTAAGGTACAATTCTTCTTACTCCACAGGGGAACAGAAACACTAAGAAACTGATATTTTTAGCAATGCTAACCGCTAATACAACAGCTACAACAGATTAAAATGTCAACTTCATAATCATCATAATCCTTCCTTTAAAAAAATATCAAACCTTTAAAGATGAATTATGCCATTCATAGTTCTTAAAGAGAAATACTAAGTAGGTTGAAGATTTTTGAAGGAAAAAAAAAAAAAAGTAGCACTAATTTTCTCATCAGTGAGACAAATTTACAAAGTGACATGCTGGACATTAGTGTCGTTTTGCCATTAGCGGTGTAAACCGAATGCCTCCGGCTTGTTGTCGGTTGGACGGGCGACAGTGAGCAAAGAGCAGTGGAAACCGCCGCTCCGCTTTCCCCTGCGGCGGCTGGCCCCGGCAGAACCTGAATGGTGCCGAGAACAAAACGGAAACATTCACATCGCCGCGGTCTCTTAGCAACAGATGTGAGCGCTGTTTTGTAGCAAATAAAAGGAAGCGATCGAGCCGGGCATAGAGACTGACAGAATGGCGGCCATTAGGGCCGGCTGGAGGTCTGAGGCAGAAAGGAGCTGAATGTGGATGCATGGAGAGACGATCAACCGAATCTCTGACGGCTCACTGGACACGGGGACGACGGGGCGGCTCCACGTGTCAGAGTCCATTTAAATTAACGACTTCTGGGAGTTTCTTTTGCCTCTAGCTTAAGTTGACAATTCTGTTTATCCAACAGGAAACAAAGTACTTTTTGGCATTCAGTGAGGCTGTCAGATGAGAGATTAAGTGTTTTATTTGACAGTAATATAATGAAGAGATGACACTGGCCAGCAACGGTATGTAAGCCTTTTGCAATAATCAATCGAATAATAAACTAAAATGACCTTGACAATTTCCAATCTGGCAATTAATATTTTTGAAGGGCAAGTTTGTTTACAGAGACTTGATAATCCGTTTTATTTATGGTTTTTATGTGTTGTTTTTGATTCCATTTTGTTTATCGTTTTTAGTTGTTGTGTTTTTGTTTTGGATATTAAGTGTTCTACACAACAGTTGTTCATCTTAGAGCAAACTCGCATATTCCACTATCAACACATTTTTTTGAAAATGATCTCAAAACGACAATATTATTGTTTATCACAATAATTATTGGGACAATTTATCGTCCAGAAAAATGTGTTAATGTGACAGACTTCTTCTTAGATTGAAAGTAAATCATTATAATCTAACTTCAGCTAGTGTCTGTTGACAGCTGAATTTATATTGCATAATCCAAACCTTACAACAATTTTGGGAAGTTATTGTCTCGACATCACGTTTCTACAATCAGACCGCTCCAGGCTCAGCAGGGGTTTAGCTCTGGTTCATATGATGAAACCATGACACCGGTGTCTTTCTATACAGAACCCAAACACCCACCTGCCAATTTGTGTCCGCACCGCTCTCCCCAAATCAGATTCACACCTCTCCCCCGGTGTGTCAGGGCGTTTAATCAAGAGCTGCTCCTCTCTGTCTCTGAGCAGTCCGGAGGCGGACTTCCAGAGAGTTTAAACAGCATGTAAACAACACTGTGGACGGTGCATCTCGGGCCTGACTCATTAGCCACAGCCAAAGGTGCCAGACCAGGTGATGGATGGCGTGACATGTCTGAACTACCTTGGATACTGAACCACAGCGAGCAGACAGGGTTCTCAGTGTCAATGTGAGGAAAGAAAGAAAGAAAAAAAAAAAAGAACTGTTGCATTTGATGCTTTGTTAGTTCTGGGTGGTGAAGCTGAAACTCGGGAGTCACGAGTTGAAAAGTTGTGATGTGAAGACTAACCTCTTCTTCTGCAGCTCCAGTTGGAGATTGTTTGCAATATGCAGTTGTAAAAACGACGCACAAATATCTACTGAAAATATTTTGCACAACGCTGGTACGCACAAATACTGAAACAAAGCCGACAAACTCCCGGCGATCGCTAAAGTCTGTCATTTCAGAAAAGCCAAGGATTCTCATTGAGCTAAGGTGACGATTGAGAGTGAAAGAATTACACAACCAAAGTTTGCCAGTATTTTTTACAACATTTAACTTAATTACTCACCAGAAACAACTTAAAGTCAATTGGAAACACAGCTGCTACTGGAAATAAATTAGCTAAGGTCCTCAGGACCGTTTCTATTTATTCAAGTTAATGAAATTTCAGTTTGTTATTTCGTTAGTTTTAGTTGATCATAATAAGGTTCACTTTACACCTGATTGTTCAGCACTATATTTTGTCCTCATGAACAGATGAGGACAAGACACAGAGCCGACTCATGTAAACCCTTCTGTGCTTTTTTTATGACACTGTTTGGTTATTGCTGATGTAATTGGAGAACAGCCAATACAAACAATAGGGGGAAAATTAATCAAATTTGGTTCAATATTGATTCTAACAAACTAGATCCAATCTAGTTTGTTACCTTTAACAAACTAGATTGGATCATTTTAATTTTTACCATGGTAAAACATAAGCTGATCATTCAGTGAGAATATAAAACTGGCCCAAGAATGTTTTAATATCTCCTGGTATCACATTTCGCTACACCCCTAAAAAAAAAAAAAAAAAACTATAAAACGGGCAAACTCCTACCCCTCTAATCAAAGTTTCAACAGTACGGCTTTACAAAAACCGTCCAGTGCTGTCCGTCATTGAGGAGTTTTTAAATTTAAGGGAACTGCAGCTCGCTGGAGAAGATCTCTCTTGCTCAGAACGCAGCAGAGACGGTGAAAATCATCTGCTGTGGCAGACTGGCGGCCCGTCCTGTCCTTCAGCAACAGGAGATTCTCATAATTATGTTCTGAAATCTTCAAATGCCTGCTGTCTGTTTGGAATTAGTCTCCATGGCAACGGACCAGACCGTCTGGCTGTGGCACAGACACGCTGATGAAGTGGTGCGTTATGATAATTGTCACTTACCGAGACGCTGGACCTGGAAACATGCAGCATATTTGGAAGGTGGGCACATAATGAGCCATGTTTTACCCCCCTGTCCACCGCCCAGCAGGGGGTCTGTGGTGAGCGTCAACATCAGCTACGACAGTGTGTGACCTGAAGCTACTGATTGATTTTATTCCTGGGTTTCTGCAGGTTTCGCCAACTCAAATTTAAGACTATTAAAAACCTTTTTAAAAAGATAATTAGGAATGAAATTTAAGACCTATAGCACGACAGAAATGTACAAAAGAAAATCGCACATTTCACACAGTGGAAGTGCAAAGCTTCTTTGCATAGAATGGATGTAGCATCGTACGGGTTGGCAACAGAAGTGAGCTAAAGGCAAAGACAAACCAACTGGAGATAAATTTATACTTATAAGTATAAATTTGGCAAGTGCTTTTTTTTTTTTTTTTTGCAATGATAGACGCAAAGAAAAAAAGAGAAAAGCTAGCTATAAGGGTTTATTGGAAGGTAGTTGGCAGCAGCCTCAAACACCTGGAGTCACAGATCACAATGAAGACGACTGTGTGCGACTTAATATTTTGCCTGACAGAAAAGTTCCATGAGAAAATAAGGCAGAATATAGAGGATTTAATAGTCCTGCCACGACAAAATTCTAGACCTCTGATTAATATATTTAAGACCAACGTGCATATTTTCCAATGAAATTCAAATATTTTAATGCCTTTTTTACGAATAAAATTTAAGATTTGTGTCACAACAGAAATTTTATTTTTTAATTAACATATTATAAATAGCAGTGCCGAGCTTTTTGCACAGCATTCATGTAGCTTGGCAGCAGAAGTGAGCCAAAGGCGAAGACAAATGTCGTCCAGCCAACTGGCAATGATTACATTTCTCATTGAAGGGTGCAAAAAAGCTAGCTAGCTACAAGGGTTTATTGGAAGTCAGTTAGCGGTAGCCTCAACTACTTCTACATCTCAGAAACTAATGAAGACGTCTGCGTGTGACTTGGTCTTTTAGCTGACAGAAAAGTCCCACAGAAAAAATAAACTACATAGTATATTCTAGGTTAAATAGTCCAGCCACAACAAAATTCAAGACCTGTGATTAACATATTTAAGGCCAACTTACATATTTTCTAATGAATTTAATACATTTTAAGGCCTTAGCTGTAGATACATGAATTTAAGACTTAGTAAGGATGCCTGTACTCCCTGCATTAAATCTCTGAACACGTATGACTGGATAACAACTGTTGGTTTAAGACACTATCATATCCAGTTTGGCGAGGACGACTGCCACATAACATTTGTTCCTCACCTTGGGGCATTCTCTGACAAACTGGAGTCACTGGGAGGTGTGGTCTGAAGTCTTTCCTCCACTCCATCTGGCTTAGAGGGGGGCCCTGATGTTGTCGACTCTCCAGCTTCTGGCTGCTGCTGCTGCTGCTGTTGCTCCTCCTCCTCCTCTTCCTCAGCAATATCCTCGTTGCCCGGCTTCTCCTTCCCTCGACCCTCGCTCTCGTTGTCGCTCTCCTCTCCTAAAATGTCGTCCACCTGAATTGGGTTTGGTTTTGGAGGGGGAGCTTTTGTTTAGTTTGGATTTTTTTCCACTCCTTAGTAACACCAGCATTAACACATTGAACACAAATCTCGACTCCGTCTTCTACAACCCAGATGTAACTAAATAACTCAACTAGTTTGAGATGTGTCTTGTGAACTCTTGAAGGGTAAATGAACTTGGGGCCCCATGATGCTGTGGCTGAAACAGGTGTGTCATTTCTTTTTGGAACAATCCTCGTCACATATCCAGTAAATCAGCAGGACAAAAGGTGTGTGTAGGATATTTGGCAGCATTAATGAGAACAAAGAAGATATACACTGGACTACCACTTATGGACAGTTCAGAATTTGTGGATTTGTCTGTGGAACGTGACTCCAAACTGTTTGTAACAAACTTTTTCCATTCACCTAATTTTTCGTAGGGCATATCTGAAATATATTGAAGGAAAATCCAGGGTGGAAATTTAAGAAACTTCAACACATCCTATTGGCTGGCGTTTGCAAAGTGGCCAATCAGAGACAGCATTGTATTTTCCTTCATACTGACTGGCAGAAATAAGGAAGACTGCTGATGCTAGCTTCTGTGGTGGTGCTGAGATGGTTTCCACTGTGTGCATTAATGCATATTAAGGTATATTTGGTATTTGAACTATTAAACTAGGCAGTTATAGTCATTTTTAGAAGAGTCTCAAACGATTGTGGATCATAGCTATAATAAACGGCGGTGGACTCTTTAGCTTCGTACATTCTGTCAGGACAGAAGAGACATCTATGATACTTTTAGGGCCGGGGCCTTAATTTGTAGCTTTTTTTTTTATGCAATTAATTGCGTTATATTACATATACACACACACACAACAAAAGATTGTATTTCTGGTACACTCGTAAATCTGAAGCATAAGCAATATCAGCAAACAGCAATGGACGACAAAGCCTCCTCTCTTGGCTCATCGCTGGGTTAATTTTTGCTTCAAAAAGCGATCTGACTGGACGCTGGAAAATACTATTGTGTTCAAGTAGTGCCTAAAGGAGTTAGCCTATCAGTGAAGCTATTTAAGCATAAAATAACATCTCAATGTTAAACATGTTGCAGGAGAACAGGGGTAAACTCTAATGTCCACCTCCACATTTTTAAGGGAAACGTTTTTTCAAAGTTCCTGGAATGATCCGGGGTTCCTGAAACACTGGAAAACTGAGTAGGTTTAGTAACAATTTGATCTAATGGTTGAATAACCTAAATAACAGATTAAAGCACATATCTCCATTGTTGAACTAATGTGTAGTCACTAATTTAGCAACCAGGGGTTTTAAATTGAGAATATTGCTTAGTTTGTGTATATATGGTTTTTGATTAAAATGTGTAATTAATTACAGGCCCTGTAATTAACTCGATAAAAAATTATAATCGAGTCCCACCACTAAATATCTTCTAAAAGTAATTTGTGCTAAGAAAAATAAATAATAATAATCTGCACAGAACACAGTTAATCAACTCAAAAGGAAAAATCTAGACAATTGAAGAAGCGGAGCACCTGGCAGCCGGTCATTTCTAAAGCTGGAGATTACTGACCCGTTCAAACGGGTTAGCCTCTTGACAGCTTTCGGATCAATATCAACGGGTATATCCCATTGCTTTTTAAATATCGACTCATTTCAATCACTTTCTCTTTGGTCAAAACAACGATGAATGAAGAGGGACGAACGTTTCTGGCTCCGCGCCAGGCTCATTACAGCCACACGCTGCCGTGTCGATGACAGGAGGGACGCAATGTAAGCTAATCCATACAGGAACAAGGGAAAAAATAACACTTGTCTTTGTTCTCTTCTCCAGCTTTGCTCGGATTTGATTGAGGCCGACCTTGTAGGCGTCTGTCACGTTACAGGCAACAGATCCAAACAAAAGAGGAAAATGAGCTTGGTTTGTTTCCAGAATAATATCAATTCACCATTTCATTTTCTCGTCTTTTTGTCAGGCTAAGACGGTTCCTTTTCTTTGACGTTTCCCCCACCACCGTGTCCTGCAGTTAGAAGCCGAAAAGAGTCAAAGAGACGTAACCTCAGTTACTTTTGCGTTTATTGACCCACTTTCTGCCATGACTGGGTTCAAAGACACGCGCCCTGACATTTTATTAAAACAATTTATTGCTCTCTGGGCCACAAAAATGGGTCTAATTCATAATAGAACCAGCACTGAATCCCACAGATGGGATATATTTTCCAAATCGTGGGAATGACTGACTAACTGAATGTAGTGTGAAGCTCTTTAGGGTCCTCTGGACTTGATAAATCGCTGTACAAACACATTCAGAATTGGGTTTGTCAGATAATCAACAAAACATTGTTCTGAATATCTGCGTTGCTTTATTATTTTGTTTTTAATCAAACTGCAGACAGGAAGTTTTAATCTGGTTGGCAAGCAAGGTCTTTGTTCTCACATTGTGTCTTAAATATGTCGTTTTCAGTGCCGTCCTGATGATGTGTCCTGAAAACCCATATTAGTCAAAGACCGAAAAGCTTTTAGTGGCTGGAAAGTTCCCCCAAGTCTCTGCCTTGCATTTGAAGAAGTCTAAAGAGATGCTTAAGATCAGCACTTATTTCCTTGCACCATTAAAGTAAACATCATCTCTCCCCATAATATCAACAAACACAATGTAATGTCTGCAGAGATCTTTTAGAAAATAGTCAAGGACTGTAAGGCAGTGAAGTCGGGATTAGTGATCTGGTTTTGGAACCAGAAATTATGGGAAATCGGCTCGGTGTGGACAAAGTTTGGTCAAGGACCAGCTTTAAGGTTGCTCAAAGCAATGACAATGTTCAACAGTTCTTTCATGCACCGTCTTTGTTGGTATGACTGAACCTGAACTTGTTTGAAATAAAAACGTAACACGACCTTACATGTGTCAGTATTTGGACATTTCATTCAGGTCAATGTTTTCCTGATGCTCTGACTCTTGTACTTTAAGTGGCTCAGTAGCTGCGTTTCCATTACAAATGTGTGCAAAAATTTATCGATATTCCGCTAATGTTGAAAAAACACAACTATTGTGTTTCCATTAATTAAGAAATTTGTTAATCCTTTAAGTCATTCAAAAACATGACCATTCAACTACTTCCTGTTGTCTTCTTCATGGTTTGCGCCAGTGGCAACATGAATAGGACGTCACAGGAGTCATGTGACTCGTGTGATGCGAAAAAATTTCCACTGTAGTTTTTAAAACTCCAAAAAACAAAACAAAAAACCCTAATCCTACTGCAAAAACGTTTTATAGAAAAAAAAATCCCAGTATTTTCAAAATTGGCTTGTTTCCATTGAGCAAAATCTTTTTTCTCAAAATGTTAAATTCTGCAATCATATGGTCAATGGAAATGCAGCTGGAGATGGTTGAGGTCTGAACAAAGATAAAACTAAGACTGAAAAATAAACATGGCGTTTTGAAAAGAGCAGCAGATTAAATAGCCCGTAATATTTATTTAGGAAATGGAGGAACTCAGAAATTAATTATTTTTCTAAGGTCTTTTGGGGTACGTCTCTACCGACTCTGATGAAGACACAGATGGTGTTGAAACATTTGCACAACAAAAACTGAAAAGTGATCAGTGAGCACCAGCCCCTTCAGTCTTTACCAGATTAGCAAATCTAGAATTTAAAAGCTTCTGCTGTTCTTTGTAAAGTGTTTGTGAATAGCAATTTCGAGATACAAATTATCAATTTTGTACCCTTTCTAATGCAACACTCCCCATTTATCTTGGGTTTGGACAAAGTCCAACAGTGAACTGGCATCTAGTCCTTAAGTATTTAGGTTCTTTAAGGATAAAACCCAAATTTAAATGCAACAAAAAAAAAATCTATTAAGCTGATAGTCTACGCATTCAGAAAATAAATCATTTTTCTCTTACAGGTACCTTCAAGACAACATAATTAACTACACAGCTGGTGAAGCATGCTCTGTCCGTGATTACTAGCCTTTAAAAACAATCTATTAATCTCCACAAACAATGAAGCAAACTTCCAGCAGAATCATTTGTCCTTGCTATAATCAAAGGCCAAGCACAAGAGAGCCTAAAACTTTTTAAAGCAAAGTATGTCATGGCCTCAAAGCAGCTTGAAGGCAGGCTTTTCATCTCGAGACTGAAAACTCTAATGTCAGGTGTGATTCCAGGGCACAGAAGCTACTTTAGGCTCAAAGACTGCTGAACGATTGTGGCAGAGATCTTTTTTAAACTACCCTGTGGCTCACTGACTCTATCTAAAGGTGGAGAGCAGAGTTAGACGGAACAGATATTTGTTTGCGGTCAGAAGGTCCATCATCGCCTTTGAGTTTGAGCCAAGAAGCTTTGTGATTCAGACGAGGCTGAACGGCTGTTGTCTGACTCAATCGGGTCTTCGTTTTCGTTATTTCCTCAAATGCCTTTCAGCCCGGACATTTCACATGAGGAACACAAGTTCACCCAACCAGATGGGTAACGACCCCAAATCGGCGGACAGGCGACATGTGTACCGATTAAAGACCATCTGTGTGGCAAATGACTTAAGGCAAAGAGCACACAGACACCACGTCGCATAATTGTGCAAATTCAAATTACAAAAGTACATTTGTTTAGTTGTTCACGCCAATTTTGAAAAACGAACAAAAACAAAAAACAAATTTTTTTCCATAAAAAGTTTTTGAGCTAGGATAAGTTTTGTTTTTCAGCCATATTGATATTAGCGTATTTTGCAAAACTGCGACGGGAACACTTGTCTTCATATCACTCGAGTCAAAAGATCAATAACCAGATGCTACTATTGGAAGAAAAGAAAGAAGACAGAAAGGGGTGGATGATGATTGTGCGGCACGGTTTTTTTGTTGTTGTTTTTTTTAACGACTTATCGTGCGACTAAACTTATTTAGGTGTGACTTTAATTGCACTTCTTATTTAATGGAAACACCGCAACAGCGAAATTGCGTTTCTTTTTTTTCTTTTTTTTTCAGACAGCGGAAAGTTTTGCGCAC